GAGATGATTCACTCGAGGTCGGGACTATTTCATTTCATTTTACTATATCGACTGAACAATATAACAGACAGTCAAACGGAACAAAGAACAATACCAAATGCCTCTCAAGATCTTATCCTATGAGGAGTTATACGGATGGACGATGGATGCCGTAGTTGCACAAATCGGGAAGAAGAATAATTGTACGTTTTGTGGGGTATTTCGACGACAGGCGTTGGACCGAGGTGCGATGTCGCTTGGCGTGGATCATATCGTAACAGGACATAATGCGGATGATATTGCGGAGACGGTGTTGATGAATAGTACGTGTTTTTGGGTTGGTGTGTGTTGTTCAGGACTAACTAACTTGCCTTGCCTTGCCTTTATTTCGCTTCGCCTTGGTCTTGGGTCCAACTCCGATAGTTATGCGTGGAGATATAGCAAGATTGGGCCGATGTACGGCTATCTGCACACAAGGAGAAGACACGATCAAAAGGTCAAAACCCTTCAAGTACGCATATGAAAAGGAGATCGTGATGTATGCGTATTTCAAAAAGTTGGATTACTTTTCGACGGAGTGCATTTATTCGCCGGATGCGTATCGTGGACATGCGCGTGCGTTTTTGAAGGATTTGGAAGCAGCGAGGCCGAGTGCGATTATTGATATTATTCATTCCGGGGAGGCATTCGAGGTGAGGGAAGAGGTGAAGGCTGGGCAGAAGGCACAGCGTGAGTTGAGCCCTAGTTCCTCGTGTATGTTTTTGGCGCTGACACTTGGCCGGTTTGTAGAGACGTGTGTTCGGTGCGGTTACATGTCGAGCAACGCAGTGTGCAAGGCGTGTGTGTTGTTGGAGGGATTGGAGCGTGGGAGGCCGAAAGCGGAAATAGGTGACTGAAAGCTTGGTTATAAAATAAACACACAGCGAGAACGAAATAAAATATTCCGGGTTGAATGAGCCGTCGTCGTCGCAGTTTTCTCTTCCAGACCGTCCTCAAACGTCCGTCCCAGTCCTACTCGTTCCCCAAGCAGCGAAACCTCTACTCGACCAGGCATGAGCTGCTCGCAATCCCGGCTGCACAGCCCGGTCTCAACGATCATGACATCGACGAGTGTGAAGAACAGGAATCCATAGAAGGCGAGGACGAAGCAGAAGAAGAAGCAGAAGGCGACAACGACGACGGGGACGACTTCTTCACTCCAAACACTTCTCCCACAGCGACGCCCGCTCCGCTCGACCCGCTTCCCCTCCCTACCACCATGTCTCCGTCCCTGTCCCCGCCGCACCATCCCATATCACGGCATCCCCCCTCGTCCCCTCTGACCAAAGCCTTTTCTCGAGCAACTCCCTCTATCATGACCAGCATGGCCGTCCTCCTCGATCAAGAGCACACCAGTATCAATACCCCGAGTCCTGTCAAATTAACTTCATCTCGCCACAGACAGCCTCACAGTCACGTCCTAATTTCAAAACCTACCCCTTCATCCTCGTCTTCTAGGCGCTCTTCCCTAGATTCAAATTCAAATAACTCCAATAGCAACGGTAGCAACAACAGCAACACCTCTTCTATGCCAAAATCACCGGCTCCAACTAATTTGTATCGAAGACGCTCGAGGTCGCTTGACCACCACGATAACATAACCGTTCATTCCGCCAGCTCGTCAAGTTCTACTGCGCATATCCCTTATGCCCCGGCCTTGCCCTCCAATGGGACCCCAGGGTTCACGTCACTCACTCTACCCCGAGCACCGCCTCCTTCGGGTCTCCTCAACTCTTCCCTCGAATCTACACGTGTCAAACTCGATCTAACACTCGACGGATTAGCCCAAACCACCGTGGCTAGCGTCGAAGTCGTCCGTGGACTCGGGAGAACACAAACCACTGCTGGCAGTCTCTTTGGGAAATTCGGTTTGACCTCCAAGAAGAATACATCTCATCTCCCACCACCTGTTCTCAATGGGCATGCATCTGGGGAAAAGATATTGGGATTCACATCGCATAGGTCGCCGCCTAAGCAGGTCCCGAGTACTGGTGTTCTAGTCCAGGTCTGGGCAGTTGCCGTCGACTCCACCGACGCGAGATTGGTTGGTGTTAGAGGCGGTAATGCCCCAAAGCCCGGTCTGACGAGGAGTACAAGTTTAAAGGATAGGCTTATGCGTAAAGGGACAAAGACAGGACAGCTGCAGTTCCAACTGCAACTGCAACAGCAGGAGATTGCAGAAGTTGGGTATATCCCTGGAAGAAGCTTTGTTGGGCGTGTCCTTGAAAGTGGTTGGGATGTCAAAGACGAAGTCGTGAAGAAAGGCGATTGGGTTTTGGGTTTAATGGACGTCCGTAAGGTAGGGAGATCTTATCACTGTGTTGTGCAACTGTTCACATCGTCATCTAGGGTGGTGCTCTTACAGAGTTTGTTGTCACTGACCGAAGACGAATACATCGGATCCCTCAACCACGTATGCCCTTCAACGAACCAGAACATGTCGAACCCCCACCTCGACGTCCTCCACAGTCAACTTCAGGCTCTCGCTCAGCTCCCTCTTCCCGTTCGACATCTACCACCGCATCCTCTCCACTCAACCCAAACTCTCGACCGTCACCTTCTCGTTCGGGCTCGAGCTCCTCTCCATCTGCTCCCCCTTCACCAACTCGTCCTTCTAAACGTCCAAACGGCTCATCTTCACGTTCTACAGCAACCAGCGCGTCTTCCATAACAAAGACACCATCACCACTTGGCCCAGGCCGTAGACCACCACAAAGTCGTTCAAGTTCAACGCCTATTTCAAGACCATCGACGCCTCCACCTCCACCTTCTCTATCATTAGAAGAATTCGCATTAATCCCGTTATGCGGCATACCTGCATATCGAGCAGTACGGACGTTGATATATGCGTTCTCCTCCTCGTCTTCCTCTGGGAAGCAAACGTACAGTCCCCAACCAGGTGGTGGATTTGACTTTGGAACCGCGCGTTCTAAGGATGGTGGTGGTGTTGGTAATAACACTTCCGGATCCATTGCAAGTGAACACATGACACTACCACCCTCTCCTGATGGAAAGATCCACAGACGAAGACGTGTACTCATCCTAAGGGGTCACGACGGAATCGGTTCTTTCGCTGTTCAATTACTTGCGAAACGCGGTTGGAGAGTTTCTGTTCATGCACCACTTCCCACTATCTCCCTACCCGCTTCGATATCGGTTTTAGGGGAATCAGAGGACCCTGTCGAGCTTTATATCTCTGCGATTCAAGCTCGTGTGACGAAATGGGGTGGTGAAGAGGTCATTTTTGATGATGGCGGAGGTGGAGGTGGTCATCTAGATGGAATTACAGAAGGGTCCGTTGATACTCACGGGGGTTTTGGTTTCGAGATGGACAGTGAGAGCACTGTTATACGTATGTTGGAAGGGTTAAGAAGTGAAGGAGAGGTATTCGACGCGATTTTGGATACGATAGGTGGGAAGAGGATATGGGAAGCTTCTGAGCGACTATTAAGAGTTTGTGGAGGAGTGGGTGTTGATGAAGAGAAGAAGAGACATGGGATTGGACAATTCACAACTGTGGTTGGGGATAATCCTTCGAGGGTGATCCCAACAGCTGGGGACCATTTTCGTGCCAGTTTGAGGTCTTGGAGGATTGGAGGGAATGCTTCGGATCGACATTCTAATGGGAATGGGAACGATGGGGACTCTAACGAACACTCTCCTACGAACCGTTCGGAAAATTTGAATGGACGATATCAACCTAAACTTATGGTTGATGATAGTTCTTCAACTCTCGAGGGTGTATCACTACCTCCGTCACCAACGACACCATCATTACCACATCCTCCGACATCCTTTTCCATCCCCTCTGCAATGTCCCTTATGCGGAGTAAATCCACCCGATCTACAAAGGCTGCCGCCGGTGGTACACCAACTTCCAACGGTGCTAATGCTGGTGGGGGTGGAGGAAAAGTGGGATACGCATGGGTAAGTATAGCACAAGATGTCGATTGGGAGGGTGAAGATATTCGTGAAACTCTCGGTTCTGTCCTCCGTCTTTCTTTGAAGACTGGTGGAGGAGGGATTAAACCATACCTTGGTCATCCTGTCGGAGGAGTTGTTGTAACTCGACATTCTCCTCGTTCAAACGTTCCTTCGCTCCCTGCATCATCAAATAAAAAGTCCACTCCACCCCTTCATCCACCTTTGTTATCGTCCTTGCCGTCTCCGGAAGCTATGGCCCATATCGAGAATTTGGTTGAAGGTCCTAGGATTGTTTCATTCGATCAAACGCCTACGGTTTTCGTGGATGGTGGTCCTATAATATCTGGATCGACACCCGTTGTCGTTCGCGTCGTTCAATAACGAGGACGAAGGCGTAAAATGAACACAAGGAACCCGTAACTTGAACGAATTCACCGACATATTCGTATTCTTTATTCTCCACATTCATTCACTTCTCGCATTCCTCCATTCCTTCCTTCTTTTCGGATTTCGGCTTTCGGATTGCGACCTCTGCATCGGCGCCTGATTTTCCTCTTTAAACAAGAACAAGGACTAGATAATAACAATGCGACACTCTTTCGTTCTTTATAGTCGAACAGTCGTCATGCTTATTAGCTATAGCTATATTTCTCTCTCTCCTTCGGCTTTTCCATACTACTTGCATTCTCTCAACCAAGACTCTCGTATTATTCGTCTCTTATCCATTACTTCATCCATTCATCCGTCTTTTCTACATAGGCTCCATACATACGCGTACTTCCATCCTTCTCCGAGACTTCACCAACAAACAAACACTTGATCGATATCATTAACTTAGATACCACCCGGTCTGTCCGCTCTCTACCTATCAAATTTCCGAATCCATGTATTGTAATAACAAGTAACTTAGATAGATATGCCCTTCCCTGGTCTTGTCAACGTCCGTGATGTCTTTGTATAACATATCAGTACGCCTCCACAGCCATAGTCTGGCGTCAAAGAAAAAGACTAGAACATCGCTATCGCGCCTTCAAGGAGGCTCGAGAACAACAAAACAATGACCACGCCAGGGGTCGAACCTGGAATCTCCTGATTCGTAGTCAGACGCGATGCCATTTCGCCACGCGGCCATTATCTTTGGCCTCCTTATCACACCTCACAATCTCCGAGTCCATGTCAATACGCAGCTCCGCTCTGTGCTATCCATCCCACGCAGCTTATCAGTTACCAGCAGTATCGAAGATGTCCGAATCACAAAGAAGGTACGATAGCCTCATGGCCGCGTGGCGAAATGGCATCGCGTCTGACTACGAATCAGGAGATTCCAGGTTCGACCCCTGGTGTGGTCATAGGTTCGCTTTTCATGCTTTTTTGCTTGCCAGTGCTCCAAGGTGCTTCAGTATCGTCTCTGTGGATACAGTATTATGAGTATATCAAAAGGGTGTATCAATTAATACAAAAGTTCTGGCACGAATCGCAAGCGTCTGATATTGGTCATATATCATGATCAACGACAGTAGGTCTGCCAACGGCACAAGGGGATATTTCACCATGACACTCGTTAAGCTCATATACAAATCACTAAGGCACCTTCGCAATCTCCCTAGCGTTTTGACCGAAAAAGTGCTTTTCATCGGTCAACTACAACAGGAAACGGTACAACACAATCTGCTTGTAGTTAAAAAAAACCAATGAAAAAAACACCCTTCCAGATTCCCAGTGTCCGTTCTGTGTTTACAGGAAGAAGAAAAAGTTGGCGAGGAAGAAAAAAAAAGTGACTGTTAAGACTCTGTCTAGCTTGAGAAGAGGTAACCCTACAACGAGGTGGTGGTAATGCGCAAAAAAAAGTAGTCCATTAACAGGAGCAGCAACAGCAGCAAGTTTAAATGCATCTGGTATCATCATTTTGCTCGCCAAGCCAGTAATCTATACGACATTAGAATAATGTAAAGGGAAAAAGCCAGTGCCCCAAACCGTTTGGTATCAAACCCGTGATCAATTTGTCCGTGACGATGTTCGTTAAACAGATGGAATGGAAAGAACAGTAAACGAATAGTAATTATTCGTTTATTGAGCTGGGATGTTCGTCCAGCCGTTAACGGTTACGGAGCCATCGGGTGAGGGTCCAGTGAAGGTGTTTGGTCCACCTGGAGTTCCTGGTGCTACGGGAGCGGAAGCAGCGTTGGCAACAGGTGCTCCTTGTGAGGGAGGAGCGCCCTGAGCAGCAGGCGCGCCTTGTGGGGAACCAGCAGGAGCAGTGGGGGAGGCACCGGGGGCATCAGTAGCAGCACCGGCACTGGCAATGATAGATGAAGCTTGGGCAGGGCTGATTGTTTGTGTGCTTGAAGATCCTTGTTGTTGACGAGCACCGTTGCTACCAGCACGAGCCATCTGGCCGAGAGTTTCGGGTTGAGTATCGATGAAGGCCATGGTGGGACCAGCAACGAGTTGAGTAGTCGCACGGTCACGGACGTTGTTGGTGAGGGGTTGACCATCGGATGTGACCCAGATGGCAACGGGTCCGTTGATGCCCTCGGGAACGATGCATTGGTCGAGGGGGAGAGCAATTGAGGAAGATGCACCACCAATCATCATTTGACAATGGAAGTTCTATGGATATACCAGTCAGCACATGCTCGATCAAAAAAGTCGTTAGAGTACGTACGTCAGTGCTACCGTTGATCGCACTTGACGAGAAGGTCAAGAGGGTACCAGGGGCGGGTGTTCCGGTGTTGGTGATCGCAAGAGATGGGTTGGCTAAAATATCACAATCAGGATTTAGAAGCTACGGCGTTGGGAAAATGATACGTACCAGGGAGACCGACATCACATGGGCCGTCGAAGAAAGGACCAGCTAGGGCGAGAACTTCACTAGGTGTCAAGGGGATATCGAACGCAGATGGGATGGCAGTTCCTGAACCGGAGAGGACGTTGAGGATGGTTTGATGACGAGCCTCGACGGTCAAGATTGAACCGGCGGCATCAAGGATAACAGGATCGGTAATGAGGGTAGCACCACCAAGGTAGGCACCAACACCAACGTTCTCGACAACACGAGCCGTGGCGGCCATAGTAGCGACATCAGTGAGGACAGAGTCGAATTTGAACTTGCAGCTGGTGATGGGTGATTCACCAAAGGATTTCAAAGCAGCCTGTGGTTGCGATAAGCACAAAATTGACGATAAAACAAATAGCATGATTGGTTACCTGGAGGACCTGTGAGTGGGTCGACTCATCCTTCTGAATGTTGATGAACTGTTCGATAGGGATCTGGGCGGAGGAGAAGCCTGCGCTGGTGAAGTCGGAATCCTGGAACTTCTGGATGGCTTGCTGGTAGAAAGTGGTCTCGAGTTGTTCGAGGACATCAGCAAACTCTGATGCAAGTAGTTAGAGATGAAGCTGACAGAGACAAAAAAACGAGGTAAACGCACTTAAGACCACGATGTCTGCAGCTGCGCGCTTGCCATAGATGCGGGCTGGCGCTGCCGAGACCAAGTAAGGAGCTGCGAGGGCAATGAAAGTGGTGGAGAAGCGCATTGTAAAATTGGGCACTGCCGGAGTTGAAGGGGTTGATCAGAGTCGAAAGAGCCTGCTTAAAGGAACGTGAAGGTTGGAAAAAAAAGACCAGGGGATGCAACCGGGCAAGCCCAAAAAGAACGGCTGAGAGGAGGTGAGCGAAGGGGACAGCGACGGGGAGGAGGGCACTTACGAGGGCACTGAAAAAGAGGAAGAACAAAGGGGTGGAGAAGGCGTTGATGGGAGCGAGCGCACGGTATTTGTAGTCTAGCTGGCTTTCCACTGCCCTGGGTCTCGGTCTTTCCGGAAGAGCCAATCATCATCACCATGGTGATCTTCATGAAATACTGGTCCTCGCAGACTGCTCATTGTCGTCGATGTCGGCCATCCAGTTCAAACGAGTTGGCTCAACGTGTTCTGTCATTACTGCGAACAGCCCCGAGGCCTTGGATGTGCGAGCGAACTACCCCACAAAGTCGTTATCAATGATCGCTTGGCGTCATCCTTGCAGGTTGCACTGCACTGCACATCTTTGGCAGTTCAAACACGATGGCTTCAACGTATAGCCTCCACGTCCTCTTCGACCGATGACCGAAAGCTGTCATTGCAGGTTTTCAGGCTGTCCTCGAAGACAAGAAAGCGGGTGAGTGTCCGCATCAGCCAATCAGCTTTTAAATTGCATCACACCGTCGTCGTCCCATCAAATGCCACCCTTTCTTGAAAAAAAAAACCCCAAAGCTACGGGCCAGCAGGACAGACATGTTGTCTTATCACCTCAGTGGGCACGGTCCGTTCAAATTGATCGGATTCTGTGTGCAGCACGTCTCCGCCCGCTCACCTGTACGTATGAATATTGATTTACAACGGTACCGAGACATCCACCGTCGATGCCTGGCAACATGTATCGATCCTGCAATCCTGAGGGGTCAAGCCTCTTTGTTCTCCGTTCGATCTGGGTATCTGCAAAGCTTGAATATTCGATTGCACGACACATTTGCAAATGCTCCCTTCTCCCGCCCATTTATAGCGGAACGACAACCTACCTCGAAAACAATTAGTTCCCCACTAAGACACTAGCATACGACCAATAAAAAGTAACTTACCAATAATGATCTCGTCAGTCGAGATAGACGGCGATAGTCACCAGTGACTTCCATGGAGATGATCACAGGGTAGGTAGGTTCGTAGGCACAACTAATCGCAGTCGTGCTTCCTTCCTCGCCTAATTAGATTACTATTCCACCGGTCACCTTCTCAACCAGGAGGAATCTTACAACTTCACTTGAAGCTGATTGGCTGTCCGCTGGGTACAAGTTCATCGGCTGGGCACCTCGGCCTCGAATTTTCTGATTGGCGGGAGCAATTTCGAGTGAGGATACAATATGCAGCACAACTAGTGCAGCCAAGTAACTCTTGAGCGTACGTATAGATTGATCGACGAGGACCAGATGATCTGACGATCTGTGGTCAATGCTCAGCCTCTCGTTCCCGTGTCTGATCATAACCGTCCATTCGTCGGATTTGTCGAGGTCACGGTCGGCAATTTGGAGACATATGCATCCCCGCAACAGTGCGAGAAAAGTGGGTTGGAATCGCTTACTATACTTAATATTATCTGGGAGCGCAGTACAACCCCAGCGACGCTTGCAGCGTGCAATGATCTTCCTAGAATCCGATGTTATCTTGCTAGAAAACGGAGATGTGTCAAAAGGTTAGCTCTCATCATTTCTGGTCAACGTTATAGTCAAATAGACACACGCACCACGCAGGGATCTATTCTATGAAGGAGTGAAACGGTGTTCGCAAGGTCCTTTGTACGCAGGAGGGCAAGTGTGTCGATCGAAGGACTAGCAACGACTCGTGTCGTGTCAAAGTTATTTCCGCTCGTTAGACAGATCGACCTTCGTTCTATGGGATACATATGTATTTCATAGACTTAGTCTGGACAGTCCTTAACTCTTCATTCTTTTCAGGAGACCGCTTTCTATGATCGGGTGCCAGTGCAGGACAAGAGTTACGGTGTTTCTGGCGTCTAGTGTACGTATATCACCAGGAGGAGGTCGTGCGGGCACAGGAGGGTTTCAAGAACGGTGAAAGACTCCTTTTGTTACGACTGTTCAAACTTTTGGAGGTGACAGACGTACAGTAGTGGTACCGGTTTTTGATGCCAGTCGGTAACGCCCAGCATTTCGGCGACTATTCGGATTTCGAGGTGGGTGTGGTGTTGGTGAAAGTTACAAAGGAGATGGCCGAGATAGCCTTGCATTCTTGAGGGTTGGTTGGCCACAGATGGTCGACGACTGAGCGATTCGGATTTGGTTCGAGTTGAATGTCGACGTCATATTACACAAGCGCCCACCAGTTTAAATCGGGAAATCTTTTTCCACACCTCATTTTGGTATGCATGGGAAAACTAAAATCGCCACACCAAAAAAATCGACACAAAAATCGCGCGTGCCGGTGCACTGACTTGAGAGCCTCGAGTCGTCTGCTCACCTTGCCTTGCTAAAAGCCCAACTCAAAAGGGGAGTTGACAATTAATTTGTCTAGGACCACTAAAGCCCACGAATCCACCAAAAAAGATGCTCGTACTTTACGAGACGGCATTGGGCTA